CAGGCCCCGCACCTGGCCGGGCCCCCACAGCCCCTCAGGCCCCGCACCTGGCCGGGCCCCCACAGCCCCTCAGGCCCCGCACCACAGCTAGGAAAGCACCTGGGCTTGAAAGGAATCTGCACTCAGCCTGGAAACTCGGGACCCCCGTGAGCTTCCGCAGGGAAGGAGGCTGAGTCACACTCCCGGGGGTGGGGGGGCTGTAATGGGGAATGCCCCTGCTCAGGGCGAGTCAAACCAAGGCCCCGTGCCATCTCTACCCCACCCCGCGCCCTCACAGGGACCCCTGCCCGTGGCCCTCCCAGCTCTGTGCCCCCTGCGCCTCGTGCCCACGCGGCCCAGGGACATACCATGATCACCAGCAGGGCGGGAGCCACGAAAGCCCAGATGGCACCACTCCCCAGGGACAGCCAGCAGCTGCGGAGGAAACAGAGGGTCACGTCAGGCCTCCGCCCAGTGCGGGCTGCTCCCGCTCCTGCTCTGGGGTTAAACCAGGGCAGTCATGGCAGCATCCTAATCCCATCCCACCTCTGTGACTGTAACGCCTCCCTCCTGGGGAGGGCCTGCCAGGCTTACAGACGGGCTCCTCGAGGGGAAGGCCCACAGGCCCCCGAGTGGAGGAATCTCAGCTCTGAGGAGTCCAGCCAGAATCCAAAGCAGATTCTCATTTCGTGGTGAGAAAATAAACACCTGCCTGGGACCAGCTTGCTTTCTTGCAGCCTTTACATAACAACCTAACAGGAGCTTTTGTCAGGGGTTAGCATATCAGTGACACCAAGGGGCACTACACAGCTGTTTCCATCTGTAACAAGCTGTCCATCACACACCCCAGCAGAGCCATCAACGAGAGGGTCTCTGCGTTTCCTGGAGAGGCATGTTCTGGGATGTGGGGTCCCTCCTGGCTTCAGAGACGTGACCCCAGGACTCAGGCACGAAAGCCCGCTCCTCACAATGCTGTCTCTTCCCGGAGCGTCAGTGCTGCCGGGAGCCTGGGCCCTCAAGGACATCTTGTCTCCAGGCTCTGAGGCAGCCCCGGGGTCTGGCCAGGCCCACATGGCAGTCCTCATTCATGCAGGGATCCCCGAGGGCTGCCATTGGCCCCCGCACTGACGACTTCCCACTGAGCCTGCCTCATGTCATCCTGCAGGTGGGGAAACCAAGGTCCCTCGAGGTCAGGTGACTGCCTTCCTGCCTGCTCCTCCCCCAGGCCTCCTGCACCCGGGTGCTAAGTGCCCAACACAGGTGTCACACCTGCAAGGGGCTCCCTTCCTGTTTCCACTGAGTGACCCGGGGCTGCCGAAACAGAGGACTGCAAACTGGGGGCAAAACAACAGACATCCCTCCCTTCCAGGTCTGCAGCCACAAGTGCTGAATTGAGGCGTCCTCGGCAGTGCCAGACTCCCTCCCAGGCTCTAGGGAAGATCCTTCCTTGCTGTTCTAGCTTTTCTAGTGGTGTCCGAGGTCCTTGGAGTCCCTTGACTTGGGACTGCATCACTCCATCCCTGCCTCCATTCACACGGCTTCTCCTCTGTGTCTCTGATCACTCCATCCCCGCCTCCACCGTCAAACGGCTTCTCCTCTGTGTCTCTGATCACTCCATCCC